ATGATGTAATCTAAGAATGGATGAGGCCAGGGCTGCAGTCAGTTTATCACCCTGAGAGCTGAGATGGGAATTCCCAGGAGCCACCATGTGGAACCCAGGGATGAAATAAGATCGCTTGAGCTAAAGGCAAGACATGGCAAGAAATTGGGTCCTTGACAACCTGATCTGAGCTCCTGGATGAAGTCCTTCCTAAAGTCAGACCTACCCCTGGATACCTTGGCTACCTGGGCCAATAAATTCCATCTCACTGCATAAGCCATTTAAGTTGCTTCTCTATCTGCAATCAAAAAATTCCTCACTGATATAATTGTCCGCTTCCACATGCAGTTTGTTTTGTTGGTATTGTTTGTTTTGTTTTTTTGTTTACTGTAGAGTGTTAAGTAAACCATACTCTGTAGCACAGAATTATCATCAGTATCTGCAAGTTCTATTGAGTTATTTCCTTAGTAGCACACATTAATTATAAGCTTATGTACCAGGAACTGTCCTAAGTAATTTACACATATTAACAAATTCAATCTGCACAATAAACCTATGGAATTAGTACTATAATTATCCCCATTTTACAAGTGAAGAAACTGAGACATAGAGAGGGTAAGTAACTTGCTCAAGGTTACACAGTAAGTAGTGAGGCCAAGATTTACTAACAACGCATATTTGAACCAAGGTAATCTGCCTCTTAAACCTATGCTCTTAATCTTTACAGTACACCAGAAAGAATGCACTACTTACATACTAACATTTGGCATTGTCCAACTGTCTAATGTGATGAGAGTAAAGTAAGATTTACCATTTATTGTGTAACCTTGGACAACTTAAAAATCCGTGTCTCAGTTTCCTTATTTATAAAATGAAGGTAATAATACTGATTTCATAGAGTTGTTGTGTAGTTTATATAATACCAGTGACTTTAAGCATCTTTTTTCTACTTGTTGGGCATTTCGGATAGCGTTTTAGGGAATTATCTGTTCTATCCTTCGCCCCCGCCCCCCTTTCTTTTCTATTGGGTTTCCTGCATTTTTCTTATTGATTTGCAAGGGTCACATTTGTATATAGCATTTGTGACTTCCATGTTATTTTCAGATAGTGAACATCTTCTAATCTATCTTTTTTTTTTTTCCTATGGTACCCTTGACTGAGCAGGAATCTTTAATTTTGGTATGGTCAAATCCATCAATTTTGCCCCAAATGTAGAGAAAATAAAAATATGAAAAACATCATTTATGCCCTAAGCAACTTAATGTCTAGCTGGAAAATCAAGAACAACACCTATGTGAACAAGTGTTAAAGATTATGCTATAACAGTATGCAATAAAATGCCAAGTCGAAAGGCTGCATAACCAACTGTTAACCTTGAAAAAGTATCCAAATACTTCTGAGCTTGAGTTTCCTTATTTGGAAAATAAAAACAATAAAAAAATACCTTTCAATGTGTTGTGATAATAAAATAAGATGTGTTGAATGGTTCTATAGTACCTGGCACATAGTACCAACTGCAATTCAGATGCAAAGCAGATCAATGAAATAATAATGGTTATCATTTGAGGAAGTTTACTACCTGCCAAGGTACTTTCTATAATGTACCATATTTAAATTTCACAGCCCTCCCCGTCCCAAGGCATTATCTTTGCTAACTTTCAGATGCAGAAACCTGGGTTCAGAGAGCCTATGAAATTTAATGAAGGTCGCACAGCTAGCTAAGTAAATAGTAGTGACAGGATTAAAAGCTGGACTCCTTTGACCTCAAACCTCCTGTGCCTTCCACTAAGTCAAGTTATTATCAGAAAAGATTCTAGAGAAAAAATGAAACTTTACTTGGGTCCTGAAAAAAAAGACAGAGTTGGAATTGACAGATGGAGGAAGAAAGGAAAGGTGATGATGGATCATGCCAGATTCTGAGGTGGTACAGTGCATGTACAAGGGAAAAGTATTGCGAGTTATTAGATGGCAGAAGCAAAATCTCGTGCATCACATCTCCCTTCAGTCCTAGCAAAGAAACTGGGACAGAGTAGCTAGTGGGAAAGAGCTATTCCTTATTTCTCTTGTTTCCATATCAAAGAAGTAGGAGTGAGTTGTCTGCCCAGTGAACTTGAAGGAGGAACTAAGCATGTGTGGCTCTGACTCCTTAAGTTTGGGATGCAGGCCTGCCCTAGGAAGCATGTGTTTTCTGCTTTTCCAGAAACTGTAAAACTGTAGTCAATTTTCACAAGAGTGGTCCCTCTGCACCTCTACCCACTCTATCAGCCCTGGGGGGTGGGGGGGGAGGGCACAGCTTCAGATCCCTAATTTTGCACAAGCACATTTTTCATTTCTGCTTGTAACTGCCAGGTACTAAGAGAGCCATTCAACATGTCTTATTTTATTTAGTTCTGTGGTAAAGTATGAGCAGGTCCGTTTTCCCTGAAGATCTAAAGCCATAGCCGCCAATCCAGCTTTTACCAGAGACAACGCTGGCCTTTTGCTCTCCATTGGTCTGACTCCGGCAGCTTTTTCAATGGATTGTGAACATGCATGGGGAATATGGGTGTTATTTGAAGCCCCTAAAATCACAACAGTAGGCACTCAACAAACCACAGTAGAAGAGTGAGTGTGACAGGTTGAGAGGACAATGAGAAGACTGGTTTGATCTGAACAGAGGGAGTATATTAAGTAGCGGAAGTAAGGTTAGATGGATGGGGTGGTCCCAGTAATGAAAGACTTACATGAAAGGCAGAGTTTGGATTTGAAGAGAGAAGAAGAGTGCTTAAAGTTTCTGAGCAGAAGAGCCCGAGAAAGGTAGTGAGTTGTAGTGAAAACTAGCGGCGGAGAGCCTGGTGCTGGAGAGCAACCAGAGGTGGTTTCCAGAATTCTCCAGTGAGGGCGGATGAAAGTCTGGCCTAGGGAAGTGGAAATGTGAATGGAGGCGAAAGGGTGCATAGATTTAAAAAGGAAAACTGCCAGGATATGGTGACAACCGGGTCTGGGAAGTGGACAACTGCTTTCCTGGCACTTCTCTCAAAGAGGCAGATGAGCCAGCCGAGAAGCTTGGTGGAAAGTAGGGCTCAGCCTTGGGCATGTTAAATCTGAGATGTCAAACAGATTTGTGCTGGGCACCAGGGACACTGGATGCAAGGTAGGAAAGAGGCCCCAGTGGGGAGTTTGGGGGAGTCGATACCGTCAGAGGCAGCACACATTTGAAGGTCGCTGGGAAGAAGTTGGTGGAAATGGGAAGCATGAACATGAAGGGTACCTGGGATGACAGGGGTAGGAGCAGGGACACAGGTGAGGTGTGGGCAGAAGAGAGGAAAGGGACACCTCTCCTGGACTGGAGGGAAGGACAGAAGAGGGAGGCTGTTAGCAAACGCTGGAGTCAGGATCTTTCCAGCAGAGCAGGGCTGCCACCACCTTTACCCCAGGAAATCCACAACTGAACCCAAAGCAGCTTTCCCCACGCTGGCGGGTCTTCCAGGCCCTGCTCCCTCTGGCCGCAGGGACCCGCGGGTTGTGGGGGTCCTTCTGCACCTCTGGACCTCTCTATATCAACCGTGGGGGACAACGCCGGCTCCCCAGGATGCAGGGCGCCTTTTCCTCCAGGTTCCCGCCCCACACCCGGATCCCCACCCCATCCCTCGTCCCCCGCAGTACCGCCCACCTGGGCACCGCTGCAGCCGGCGCTCGCAGCCCGCCCGA